ATTATTATTTATAGTTGTTATAGATATGCCAACTCTGTCGTAGAGTATTAACTTAACCGTGTGCCATCTGGCTGGCATGCAGTGTATTTTAAGCCCTTTTCCCATTGTGAGGTAATTTAAGAAATGGACTCAAACCTGAAAAGATCTTGACCTTCGCCACAATGGAACAAAGGCTTGGTCCCTTGTCAGCAACCTCTCGGGAGAAAGACAAAAAAAGAAACCCCAAACCTTTTTTCCTTTCAGGCAGCACCATTACTGAAGACCAGAAGAAAGTCGAACATTTTAACCGTTTTTCGCCTCTGTAAACCGGACATGCAGACTAATCGAGGCTGACAGACTCCTCATAAACAAGGCTAAGCATAAAGAAAAAGCCCCCACTGTGAACAACTCGCTTTTTGAAGAGGATTATAGCATGATGAAACTCGGTCAGACCCTCAAAAAGCTAAAGAAAAAGAAAGTCCAAGGACAAAGTACACAACGAAATGCTGTGCAACCTTGGTGTTAAAGGAAAAAAAGTTCTTCTTTCCTTAATATATACATGTACCACATGGAGAACGAGTGGAACAACAAAGGCATGGAGGATCGCCCAGATTATACCGCTCCTGAAAAATGGGAAACCACCTGGAGAAGTGAAAGCTACCGACCTAGCTCATTAACATCATGTATCGGTAAGCTTGCGGAAAGAATAATAACAACCGCATCTACTGGTACCTGGAAAACACTAACAGCTTGAATCCACACCAAGCAGGCTTCAGAAAATCCAGCAACACAGAAGATCAACTTTTTAAACTATGTCAAAACATCCAGGATGGATTTCAGGAAACTAAACACACTGTCGCCATCTTTGTAGATCTCCAATAGGCGTACAACAGAGTGTGAAGAAAAGGCTTACTCATGAAAATGATGGACCTCGGGATACATGGCAAACTATATAAATGAATCAAGTTCTTCCTGTCGGATCGAAACATTGAAACCAAGGTAAAAAAATGTCCACTCGTCAAGAGAAGTACTTGAGGAAGGCCTACCCCAAGGTTCCTGTCTGAGTTGCACTTTCTTCCTGATCTTCTTTAATCAAGTGACGAACATGCTGAAATCATAAAAGACTCTTTACGCTGATGATCTTTCTCTCTGTCAGACACATCACAGCACGATAGTAGGCTCTACAATAACTGTCAGAAATGGAAGCTTAAAATAAACTGCACGAAAACAGTATACACCACCTTTACGAAGAGCCATAAAGCAGCCAAAGAAAATCTCCAACTAAAGATAAAAAATGAAAATCTCCCCAAAGAAGAACACCCAACATACCTAGGAGTCAAACTTGACCAAAATCCAACCATGAAAAGCCAAGTGGATAACATAAAGAACAAGGGAAAAAGACTCCAACTTTTAAAGAAACTCGAAAGCAGTTCATGGGGATCAAACAAACAAACTCTGAGAGCTCTATACCTTGGTTATGTCCGATCTTCCCTGAAATACAGCAATAGCCTACTCACTATGTGCAGTACAACTACTTGAAACACCCT